ATCTTACCAAACTTATTCTTATCTTATATGATCTCATCCTATCTGAATTATTGCCACTTTTTGATATCAAAGATAAGGTCAGCTTCTAGGAAGGTGCTACCCCAATTAGGTTTTCAATTTCTACTTGTTAGCTGTAGCGATGCTCGACTGTGGACGCGTAGACAAATAAGGCAGGACGGGGTAGGCGATTGGCGGGAGGCGTTAGTCGCAAGAAATCTGAATCAGTTTTGAAGAGTTCCGCAAGAAACGTGATTTGATGAGAATTATGCCGCGACGGCAACACGCACGGCGAAGCAAAAGCAACAGAAACCAGCAAAAAACGAAGCCACTGTGGCTAGAGGAGGGAGTGCGGTGGTGCTGACGGTGGCTCGACTGGGCGGTGGTTCCAGCGGCAGTGGCACTGGCAGTGGCACTGGCAGCGGCATCAGCATCGAAATCGGCATCGGCGGCAGCAGACAACAAGTTGTATCTCGAGACGTCATGTCACGTAGCAACGCTACATGGACCATTCATACAAATTTTGTTTTATAAGATACTTTTGTACATTATTCGTGTGTAACTTTGTGCGTCCGTCCGCCAGTCCATCAGTCCGCCAAGTCGACGAAGTCTGTCTCCATTGCTATTGCTATGTGTGCGCGTTTTGGTTTTGTTTTGTTCTGTCTTTTTATTTTTATTTTTATTTTGTTGTATACTTTTTTGTTTTGCGAGTAATTTCTGACATTTTATTGTTGATGTTGCTGCTGCTTTTGTTATTGCTTTACTTGCGCGTAATTGTGCACCGCACAGTGGTGTAAGACCCATTTGACTAACGTACAAACTGTAGCTTTGCCTCTTCACAAAAAAAATCAAGTTATTTGCCATTTTATATTCCCAAAATATTTCACTATATATACAAAAAAAAACGAAAAGGGCAATTGGAAAGTTCTTAAATTATGCTTCATTTTCTTCAGTAATGGGCTTATAAAGTTGTAGATTCAATAAAATACGTTTGTAAAAACTATTTATGTTACAGGATTCTACCAATTCAGTACCAAATTTCTCTTCAATTGAAGAACAGCTTTTTTAAGTTAATTCCCATATTTTGGAAGGCTTCGAAGTTATGCAACACTGGAGATATTATGAAGTAGAAATTAAGAATAACAAGCAACAACAAACTCATTTTGCATTTCATAATACAAGTAATATTTTTTTTTAAGAACTGCCGATTCTGATGATTCTTCTATGCCATATTTTGGGCATTATATTTAATATATCGAAGGTGCTCTTATAAAATTTGTTTTCATAAATGTTGCATTTGGTAACACTGTGCATTGTGCAGCATCGATAAATCCAATTGGTGGGCGAGGTGTGGGGGGAGGGGGGGCTTGTCACATACAAAATTGTCTGCACGCACTAAATGCAGACGACACCTACAAAGTAGCTAAGCTACAAGCGACTAATTCGACAAGGGCGGCCGGCAACAGCAACAGCATCATCATCAACAACAACAACCACAGCAACAGCAACAGCAACAACAATGCAATTGCCAACAGGAGCAGCAACAGCAATGAGCAACGAGAAACTGACAACTGGCTGCCCAAAAATAACTGCCACTTGCAGGTACAAAATGACAAACGGCGGCCCAAACACGAACGACACGAACAGATTCCAAGTACCGAGAAACGCTTCCTGTCGCAGCAGCGGCGACAGCGACAGCGACGACGACGACGAAAGCGACTACGATGCTGGCAATGCCAATGCTAAGAGTTGTCAACGTCGCCGCGACAGCGACAGCGACACCAACAGCCACCAGAGAACATCTTCCTTGTTGGATGCTGTTGTTGTGATTTTTGTTTTTTTTTTTTTTTTTGGCTGTTGTCTCTTTGTCATCGACATACAAAAACAAATGACCTTGTCGGCGATGCCGTTGGCGTTGGCGTTGGCAACGCCGTAAGTCGTAAGCTGCAACAAGTTTGCCAAACATTTTTGCACTTTGTATTTTAATTTGTGTGGTGTTTTCTCCCTACCTTTGCTCCCTCCGCGTTTAGCGTGCATGTAGAATGTAAAATTAAAGCGGAGAGATAACAAAAAAAAAAGTACGCTTTATAAATAAATCAGTTTATGCATTGCCAGGATATGTCAACGCCAGTGACTGTTCTTGATGTTGTTTCTGTTGTTGCTGCTGATGTTTGCCACTTTGTCTGTCTCTGTTTGTCAACTTGCGCGCGCGCTTTGACTTTCTGTGGCCTGACACTGACAGACAAACACACAGACAGATGGACAGACAGACAGACTAACTGTCAAACTGACTCACTCACTGGCAAACTGACATTTTGACGAAGTGAGTGTATGAGTGAATGAGGAGTACTTTTTTCCTCCAGTCATGACAGTTGCCGACAAATGCAGATTCTAAATTTGCGGTCGTCTAATGGCTTGGTCACACATGCACAAATATTTGCATTTGTAGTTAACATCGGTCACACATGCAAATAATTTGCACACAAATTTGAGCTATTTCGCAAGTACGCCTTTGAAAAATAAATTTCGATGAAGTTTCTTGCAAAGTTTCTTCGACAAATCTGTATGCAAACTTCAGATTTCTATACTTAAAAGTAGTTTTCACTTGTAAACACTTGTTCTTTGTGATTTACTTTTTGAGGCGTACTGCAAAAATAACATAAATTTGTGTGCAAATTATATGCCTGTGTGACCGTAGCTGATGAATTCTATGCCCAAATTGTGTATCGTTTTATAAAAGACTTCTTTTGAACATACTTCCTATAGCCTATTTTGAAACAAGTTTAACTTGCGTTCGAATTATTTGCATGTCTGACCGCATCTTAATAACAATAACCAAAAAAAAAAAAGAATTGCTCACCACTCGAATGCTGGGCATTGGCTTTCAATTTCAGATGTGCATCGATTTATGTACCGCCATCGCCACAAATCATAACTTGGTATCAGCCACAACCACCGCCACCGAAAATTTATGTTAAGCATGAAACATGGCGCATAAATGCTAAATTCAAAATTCAAAATACACGCTCGTACTTAAGTACTAAATGCATTCTGGAGCTGACCTCTAGAGGTGTGTGCGGAAATTAATTAAACGCCGATAAGCCCAATGGTGTCGACATATTGACAGCCGCCCCAGCGACAGAGATAAAGGCCATGACCCGTGGATATGGGCGCCATAGCGCCTACAGTTTTGTGGTTGACGAGAGGATGTTGGGGAAAGGTGGAGGGGGCGGGGGCGGGGAAGGTGAACGAAAACAGGATCATTAACTTTGGCCGAGTGACCGACCAAGTACCAGTAGTGCAGGCAGCTGGCAGTTCAAGCAGCTTGTTCGCTAAATCACTGCACATTAAATGCAATTAAGAAATGATTGAAATCATAAATTAGCCCTAATTGGCCACAGGACGCGGCAGGTCGCTCTCTCGATCATAGTCAGTGCGCCGACAGGGCTGCCTATCTCCCTATCTGGCTATCAAAAATGATGGAAGGCGGGCAGGCAGGCGGGCCAGTCGGCCAAATTGTTGGGCGCAAAAGCCAAGTATTTTTAGCTACCGCAACACAATGGGCTGAAACACAATTTTTGCACCTACATTTTTATAATTCATTCGCGATTCGACCGAAAATTTAGTGTTTCCAAACAAGAATTTAATATTAAAGGAGCAATTGTTTGTTTAGTTGTTCATGTTAATCTTTCTATTAAATTAGAAATTCAAGAATGGAACGGAACAGCTCCTCTTCTTAATAAAAGACAAAATAACATAATAGAATTAAATTTTGTGGATAAATTAAGACAAAAACGTTCATACGCATTTGCATACCCATTCGTGTTTTTAAATGTATTTTCCTTTATACAATTATCAATAATTAATGCCTCTGATTAAGTTAATTTCAGCTTTTTCCACTGAGTTTTATTTATGAATATAACACCCAAAATGAGGTGTGTTTTTGTTTTTTGTATATACTATATGTATTTATATTCTTGTAGTACAAGATAAATCGATTAAGACATGTCCCGTTGTTCATTCGTCTAAATGGAAAGTAGAGAGTGCCTATAGCCTTCAAACTTGGCATTCAGGTTCCCCTAAGCCAGAGAAAGGGCAACTTATGTTTTTTTCCATGAACGGCTAGGAATTTTCTCATTTGTACAGTTCAATCTCGATAGTTCGGATGTATTTCATCACTAAAATACCACAGTTTTTTGCCGAACGACTCGTCTTAGCGATTTGGCAGAAATAAAGTGGAAGTAAAACTAAGCAAATTTTTAATTTATGCAAACGATTTTATTTATAAGGTATTTTTGCCCCCAATCTTTATGGTTTTTCGCGTGAACTGGTAATATGAATTTTCGGGCAATTCGTATACTTGTATTATCGAAATCATACTGTATTGAGAATGCAAGTTTGGATTAACTGTTCTGCCCATTGTGCAGAGCAGCCAATTTGGTGGCGGTGCGAACAACTCCAAAAGCAAACAGAGCCAGCGAAACAAGCGAAGCAGGGTGAGGGAGCGAGAGGGAGAGGACTGCCCAGCCCATACATACATGCAATGATGCCGATGTCGATGCCGATGCCTGCTCCCGAGCAGCGCGGCTTGCTCGCTGTTTGCCTGCGGGCTGCGAAATACGCGAAATGCCGCCGCAAATAACAACAACAATAATAACAAAAACAAGCACATACCAAAATGTGTGTAAGTAGATGAAATTAAGATTTTTTTTATGATTAAGCGTTGAGAATTTTTGACGGCAGCGTCAGCGTCAGCGCCTGAACTGAATTTTTGTTTGTGCCGTGCGGCCGTCGTCGTTGCGCTTCTGCCGCTGCGATCGTTGGACGAGCGACGACGCAGCAACGACTATAAAAACCCAAAGGTAGGCTGTTTCCGAATTAAACTGTTAACACAAGAACGCGACAACACACCCACACCTGTCGGCTCTTCTCATTCGATTACACGCACACACACACACACACACTCTCTCTCCCACTCCTCTCTCTCACACTCCGTCACTGACATGGCACTTCCTCTAATGCGTCTGCCTATGCTGTCGCTGCTTCTGCCGCTGCTAATGCAGTTGAGCGTCGCTGCCATCGTCGGCCACAGCGCCCAACAGACGACGGAACTAAAGCCGCAACAGCAGCGGGAAGCGAAGGGAGCGGCGAGTGTTCGACTCCTGGATCGGTTCAATCATCGCTATCCGGACGGCAGTTACGAATATCGCTTCGAACTGGACGATGGCACCGCACGCTACGAACGCGGATACTTCGCCCTCATCGATCAGGTTAAGACGCTAATGGTGGTCGGCTATTACTCCTATCGCATGCCCGATGGACGTTACATCACCGTCTTCTATAATGCCGATCAGTTTGGCTATCGGCAGAATCAATGTGAGTACTCAGTCATTATGCATATACGTGTATGTATATTATGACTATTATGTGCATGATTCAAATTGTGAAAGTGACAATTTTCGAGACGACCAAGTGAATTTAATGATCAATGATAAAGCTAGCACGTATGAACGTGCAAAAAAAAAAGTTTTTAGAAGCACTATATTTTAATTTCAACACCAGTTTTTAAATATTCTTACAAGTGAACGAAAGAAAATCCAAAATACGTTTTTGGAATAGAACACATTTCTTTTCCTGGAGAGCAAATACTTCTTTTAGCATTTGGCATTTAAGGACTGTTCTAGTTTTTACAAAGTGAAGTGCAAATTATTTGTCTGTCTGACCAACCACCTTATTCAGAGATATTTTTAATTTCGTTTTTGCAGAATTTTCGAAACGCGAAAAGTGAATATATTTATTTGTGTGTGTTGGTGTTAATTGCCGAAACAAAAATGGATCACCCTAAAGCTTCTTCACACACTCCAAATAATAATCATAGTAGCAGAAGTAGTTTTGAAATATTTTGATAGTAGCATATTACACTTTGAAGCTTGAGAAAATCAAATATAATTTAATCAAGATAATTTGAGTATTTGTAAAATGTGTAAAATATATCCTTTCGATCTGAATTTAGTACATTACATACATACATATATCGTATGTAGATTATTCAAGAATTCATAAGAAAGATAGAAATATTTAGAACCCTTTCTTTGATAGCAGTATTTCTTTTAAAAAGAATGTGACTTCTGCTTATTTTTCACATTTATTGGTATCCAACAGGATAACAGTGAGTTGATTGCTAAATTACTGATCTTTTGACTAATTTTTAACTATTTTATTGGGATTATGGCTTAGTGGTCATAATTTGACAGCCAAATTGTTAATCTCTTAACTACTTTCGCATTCTAGCAAAGTATTTAAACAAATAATCGCACCTGATAGGAAAGCTTCGTGTTCTTAACTATATTCATACTCTTGACTATATTCATACTACTTACTTGTAGCTTTACTATTCACAAGATATTTGAGCTGCGAAACATTGTGTCTACACAGATCATCCATTATGCTGTACATGCTTCTAAAGGCCAACATCATCTAATCAATCTTTTTAGCCATCACGCCGCAGGTGTATCCGAATTTGCCGCGATCCATCGATGTGCCCGGCCACAGTGAGGCATTAAGCTCGACGTCGCGTCAACAGCAAAAAGAATCGGGCAGCTATTATCCGGCAACATCCACGCCCCGGGCAGCGACGTCGTCATATACGTTGACGTCGTCGTCGACGTCGGCGCTACCTACGCGTCGCGGCCGCTTCTGAGGCGGCATCTGGTCATGCACGAATAATTATAGCTTCAACTCCCAAATTTTATTTTATTTTTTTGTTTTTGTATTTCGATAAATACGAGTATATACATATATTATTTTAATAATTTTTTCTTTTACAATTAAATGGTATTAAAAAATAATAAAAAAATGTATTAAGGCAAAGCGCAAAATTATGAATTTATTATTGATATTATTGGCCTGTTTTATTTTTATTGCCGCGCTGCACTTTTCTGCCTGCACCCCCACTCCTGCCCCAGTCCCCCTTCCGTCCCCTTCCTTCCCCGCCCGATGCACTGGGTAGGGATTTTTGCGACTTTTCGAAAGTCGCGCCGTCGACAATTTGGCAATAAATTCAGTGCAAAGCGACCCAATGCTGGGCAATAAAACATACACACAAATGTCTTTCTGCAGCTGTCTGTGTATCGCCAGCGCTTAAGTCTTGTATATACATACATACACATATGTATGTATGTATGTATGCACTCGTGTATGTTGCCATATTTTTGCATTGAGCACATTTTTAACACTTACACAGAAATGAATTACAATTTGCGGTGGCTGCTGTTGCAACCGCTGGAGAGCCAAAAGATTTCGGCTCAAAGCAATTAAAGTCATGCCACATACATACACACGTATAGTATGCATATACATACATACACTTACACACACATACACGCTCACACACATATATACAGCTGCATGTGCGATGTACGATGTGCGAAGGTCTATGCATCATAAATTTATATGTGCAGACAGCTTACAATTGGTTCACACGTAAGAGTCGTCCTTCGATTAAAGCCAGACGACATATTAATGTGTTGCCAAAGGCCCCACCATACTATGATATAAGAGGTTCAATTCACAACGAATATAGTAATCAGCGTACATACTATGTGGGGGGATCGGTCGGTGCCTCAACTTCATAACTTATAGATGCCATAAGATAAACGTTCTACATGCAGTTCTTTCGATTGCATGCTTCAACCTCTACCCCACGTAGAAAGGATTTTTGTATGTATATGCCTGCATTCTGTAATAATAGTGAAGGGATAAGTATATACTTTTTACTCATTAACATGCTTTTATATTATTTAATACATTTTAAAGCTTGTTTATTACATTACTAGCTATTTACTTTTTCATTTTAGTTGTGTTTCGCCTAAAATTCTCTAAAATAGAAATTATGCAACGCAAACAATAAGCTGAAATATAAATTTAATTAATATTTCGAGTCACAATTTTAAAAATATTTATTAACAGTAAATATTGGAGGCTCTTTTTATACCCTGTACCCGTAGGGTAAAAAGGGTATATTAGGTTTGTGCAAAGTATGTAACATACAGAAGGAAGCATCTCCGACCCCATAAAGTATATATATTCTTGATCAGCATGGCGAGAGAAATCGATCTAGACATGTCCGTCCGTCTGTCCGTCCGTCTGGATGAACGCAAGGATCTCAGAAACTATAAAGGCTGGAATAACCAAAGTTGGCATCCAGATTCTCCTAGGTCCGAGTAAGGACGAGTTTATTTATTTTTTTTAATTTTCCCTCCCTTCCCCCGCTACAGAATTTCGTCAATAGCGTCCACATTTCAAATGCTACCTAAACCAAACTTTGCACACATAATTTATATATAATTGTCTACTGTTGTTCAATTCGGTCAATTCTAAATAACCTGGGTACAGGGTATTACACTGTCGGGCTTGCTCGACTGTAGCGTTCTCTCTTGTTTTAAATTGTATTTAACCTTATTTTAAAACAAATATATTTTAATAGTCTTACTTTTTTTGCCCAATTTATTTATTTTACTAATTTTATTTATTTTATTGTTTTTTCTTATACTTTTCCAGATTATTTCGAAGCATAACTGTCAACCTCATCTGGTTATGGTTCATCGTCGAAACGAATTAATATAGACGAGTCCGTCGGTCCATTCTTTGATCTGTTCGACTGTATGAACATCGATATCGTTTGACACATGATGGCTAAGAACATAACATTTGGTACACAGACTTGTCTTATCCCAATGCAGATCAAGTTTACTTATTGGAACGACCTATGCTGAGATCACTCTTTAGTACCAAAAACATACTTGCCTATAAGAAAGCCGGTCTGGCACGACTATAACGTCCTACTTTACACATAAGTAATACATATGGTAAGTACAATTGAAAAATAGTTACTTTAAGATCTTACCCCACTAGCGGGTCGAATTCAAGCTATATATGTTCCATTTTTTGGGCATTGCGTTGATAGAGGACTTTATGTTTTTAAAAAGTTTATTTATATTTATAAAATAATGTATATGAGTGTTATAAACATACATTGTCCAGCAACTAGGATTAAAATTAAATCTAACACTGTTGTGTGGCTCTCAATAATTCGTACCTTATTAAGAGCACACAGCAGCACACATACCGACACACACTGAAAGTTTGAACAGAAAGCTGCTGAAATGGCGCCTGGCGCAACTTAAACTGACACAACACAAAATTGTACTAATCAAAAAAATTAAATTAAATAAACTTGGAAAGCGCGCTGGCGAAAGTCTAATAAAAACAACACTTGGCGTCTTGATTCTCACACCAGCGGCATTCTTATGGCTACAAGGACTACGTTAGATGGCTAAGGAGTGGAAAAGGAAGAAGGGGCGGCGCTGAAAACAAAAACGATGGCGAAGACGAAGACACGCTTATTTCGAACTCAACGCCTTGCAACAGTTGCATTTGAAAGAAGTTAAGTCAAGTGAAGTGAACAAAAAGATGAAAAGAGAAGAAAAGAAATATAAAAGCAACTTTGGAAAGTACTAAAAGCGCCTTTTAACTTTAACACGCGTTCAAGAGACAACCACACTGGGAAGACAGAAACTCTAGCTGGGAGTGGTAGAGACACACATGTAACTACTACTACTACTACGATGGCAGGCAAGTAGTTAAAATTATCAAGGAAACTTTCCAATCACAGACAAGAAGTCTCTGTGAGTCAAAACTAATACCCAGCGCCATTCGCACTGCCTGTGATTATGAAGCTGATAATGACAATACGGGCGATGCTGATAATGGGGAGAAATCGGGTTACAAATTGCAACCTTGTTGACTTTGTTGCTAACCACTCTTTACGTCAAGAGGAAACAGAATATGCTAAGAAGTTGGTAATATATGCAACAAGCATGAAAAGCAGTGACAGACTCAATGTTTGTCCAATTGTTCGACTATTCGACAGTATGAACTGTAATATCTTACTTATTATAATAGTTATTCAGATGCATATCAAGTTTATTGCATTATTTTATATACAGAGTGAAAAAACATGCAAAGAAATGAAACAAACATTAAAAGCAATGGCAGGCTCAATGTTTGTCCAATTGTTCAACTATTCGACAGTATGAACTGTAATATCTTACTTATTATAATAGTTATTCAGATGCATATCAAGTTTATTGCATTATTTTATATAAAGAGTAAAAAAAACATGCTAAGAAATGAAACAAACATGAAAAACAATGGCAGACTCAATGTTTGTCCAATTGCCCGACTATTCGACAGTATGAACTGTAATATCTTTCTTACTATAAAAGTTGTAGATGCCAAATTTTGCCTGCAGATTTATCTTATAGAGATGGAGTTTATTACATTAGTTCATAAAAGTGGTTGTCATAGGAACGATCGGTGCAGAAATCAATTTTCATGAACTTAAACATTTCCATGCATCTATTAGTTTTGAAACGTTGACTTTTCTCAGTTGTGAATTTGTCGCATGCACTTCACTTTAACATTCTAAGTACTTGTTGCCTATTAGGAATCGCAAAATAAATACTGTAAGCAGCGCACAACAAGAACATATTAAGCGACACTCCACAAGTGAGTACTCTTTCAAGAACACGTACATACTCGTACTCGTATAGTATGTGCTGCTTTACACTCATACTCGTAAGTAGCATCCCCCCTCACATCCAGTAACTGACTCGGTCAGTGTCAAGTGCCAGCTGTTCGCATTCAGTCAGTTCGCACTTGGTCAGTCTGTCACCGAGAATCCCAGCCGACGGCGTCATTAGCACTTCGCTCGACTAAGCAGCATCAAAGAGCATCTCAACTTTATAATGAGCTCTGTTAAAGACACGTGCTCGGGTCTGCGACAGGACCAACATCCTCGCGCACGTGTATGCCCAGCTCCAACAACCCATTAAACAGACATAAAAAAACACATTTTATTAAAGTAAAGGGAAATAATACGAGTACTTCTGCAGCACTCAGAGAATATGAATGGATTGTCTAAGGTTCGTCCGCTGTTCCATGACAAAGAAATCCTAATATTATTATACAAGTATAGCTTTATTGTAACATTGTATAAAACTATAAAATACAATAAAGTAAAATGTATAAAGTAGAACGAATGTCAAGTCGAGAAATACTTGTGTAATCTATCCACTTGATAGTATTGTGGGCCAACATTTTTGTTAAAGTTCTGAAACATACACAAGTAACTCGACTTATTTCAACTTCTCGATAAAGTTCCAGAAAATTGTTAACTAACGAGACAGTCTTAAGGCCAATTCTTCCACTAATCTTGCAACAAAGTAAGATAAATTTAAGACAGGAAGCATTCAGTTTTGCTTTCATTTAAAAAAAAATTGTGAAGAACTTTATGGTAAAATATAAAATATCAAACAAAGTTAAATATCAACGGAAGAGGAACGAATTAGAATTGCTTACTACCTTCTATTCTCTATTTACTTACTGTGTGCGTCATATACATTATTTATATGACCGATCTCCCTAAGTCTTAAGTCGAAAATATTATCTCTTTAAATACAGGCAGTAAACATCTCGATTAGTATTGAAAGCATGTATGCTTTTCTATAAAGTTTCAAACAAGTTTTCTGAATAAATGAACTTTTCAAATATAAAAAGAAAACGCAGCTAGAAGTATTCAGAATATTCCACAATAAATTAAGGTAAAGCCCCCTTTTGACAACAAAATCGTGTAGGAGCTGTGTGGAAAAAACAATAACATGAAGAAAGCTTTAGCTCCAGTTATAAAGACATTAGCAGGTTAGTGTGGTTTCTGCATCTATCTGGGCATCATTCAAGCCATTTTACTCTTCATCTTTTATATCTCAATCTAAATTGGTACACCAATGCTTTTCTCCAAGTGTTTTTTGCGTCCAAGTAATAGTAGCCTTAAGTTTAAATATAATCAAAACGCAATAAATATTGTAAATGTGACAAAGCAGCCAAAGTTTAACTAGGACGTGCCCAAAGCCCATGAAAGTGAAACAGGGCCAGCGACGAAAAGGATGGGGAAAAAGGGCAGGGACAAGCAGGAAATGGCTGCAAAATGTTTGCATGCTGCGGCAACACAACAACAACAACAACAGTAGCAGCAACAACTGTAACAAGAACATGAAAAACACGAAGCAAAAAGTGCAAAAATAAATAAAACACCGCAAAAGGATAAAGAATAAACAAAGGAAAAAATTGTGTACGGCGCAGCAGTACGTGAGCAGAAAGGATGTGGGGGAGGTGGGTAGAGGGGGGCAGAAGGGGGCAGCTACGACAAAAAATTAAATATAAAATGCAAAAATGGCTTTTAAGCAGCGAAAGTCGCGTTTAGTTGCGGCATCAAGGCAGCAGGCAGGAGCACATGTCCTGCCGAGGCTGAGTGCCTCTGCAAGTGTGCGTGTATGTGTGTGTGTGTGTGTCTGTGTGTATGCACTTCATCAAGGTCCGCAGCAAAAGCCAAAACAAAAAAAAAAACCGTCAGTCTACAACATGCCGAACACGATATACCCTCGAAACAGCCACAAGTCTTTCGAAACCAAAAATCATTCCACTAATCAAATAATATAAATGGCATTTGTTCAAAATTATTTTCAAATTATTAAAAGCCAAGCATATATTTTTTTAAATATCTAAACAGTTCTAAGTTAAATGCTCAATTGAAATATTTTAGATTTATATGAATTATGAAAAAAAATAAACGATTTTCTAAGAGAATATCAACCATAAAGGTGAGAAAACAACGCTCCCTCTAAGGGCTCGGAAACCTCCCAAAATCTCAAACCTCTAATGCCTCAAAATAGTTTAAACCATGCCATATTTGTAAAGCAACTCAAAAAATATTTTTGAGCAGTTCAATCAAGTATACAATTATAAAGCCCACACATACAAGTATTGAGATAATTAAAAAGATTGGATCGTTTTATTTTCAGGAAAAATCTTAAACAAACTTTCCAAGCACAAAGCAATTTAAATCCTATGAATTAATTAGGTCTGTCAGTAGGTGTTCTGATTATAAACTTTCAGTGTTCAATGCTTGAACAAAAAATGTTCACAAAATGCGAAATACTTAAGCAAAGTAAGAGTTTTCAAAGTTTTCTGTTGCATCAAATCGTGGAACACCACAAAAGTCCGATAATATGCTGCTCATCCCCAGGAGAAAGAATTTTTCGATAACAAACTAATCTCCCAGGCGTAAAGATGTTGTTACCTCTGGGTTAATTAAATAAGAGAGGGGAAATCGTATGTAATTAAAAAAAAAAAGACTGGCTTTTTAAGGTAGACGACAATAAGCCCTCACTTTTTACTTGTAACGCTAGGATAAGTTAATAAATAAATAAATATATAAATAATTAAAATTGTCAATTGCGTAATATCCACTGAAAAATTAATATAGGTGGTGACTTCTAATGCCATCCAAGTCTGGGGCACTGTCCCGAGGACGACTTGTTGCTGAAGATCAAGGAGCTAGTCGTATTCTGATAATTGAACTACCCATTAGTCTAATTGACGCCCAACTGAATAATCATAGCAGCAGGTTTGCTAAACGATTTTCCCAACATTCTAATTCTGCGGCGTTATTGTTTCAGTTAGAAACGGTTGAGAAGCTTGCTAAGGCTTAGTACCTATTCTTTTTCTTTTATTCTTTAACACCCCATAATTATGGACTGATAAGAAATATTTTGCAAATAAAATCATTCGTAGGTGTGTGTTTAATTGTATTGTGCGTTAATTTTTAATCCATTTTCAACAAATTGCTAGCAATCCCAAAGCGCAGAGTCGAATCCTAAAAGTATGCAGCTCTGAATTTAAATTCTTTTTCATTTCCACTCAATGGTCAATTAATTTGTAAACGTTTCGATATTTCATTTCAAATGAACGAATGTCTTCAAAAAGTAGAAGCAAGAAATTGAAACGTTTTGAAATCACACTAGCTGCTAAAATGTGGGAATACAAGTAAGTCACTTTTTGTTTAGTTATTAGTGCTTTATAGTTGACAAGGTATAGCCTTAAACTATACCACGTTTATCGAAAATGTTTAGAGTGCATGCAGTTGGCTCGAGCCTCAACAGCATTATAGCTAATTGGCGTCACTCGGTTGGTGGCATTGTCATATGCATTTATGCAACCAACAGGCAGCATTCTGCTGGCTGCAGCTGCATAATGAAATTTGCGGAGGTCCAAAGTTGTCTTAAGTCGGTCTTAAGCCACAAGGTCCAGAGGACGCGGTGTGTGGTCTGTAGGGTGACAATGTTAAGCTATTGTGGCTGTATCCGTGGAATGTGGAAAGTAGTTGTGACGGTGGCAGCGGCACTGGCACTGGCCCTGGCACTGGCAGTGGCAGTTGCAGTCAGCCATCGCTGTTGCCTGCCACTCGCATTTTTAAAAGGCACACTAACTAACTTACTTTGTTTACGGAAGCGGAAATTAATTATTTTACGTGCACGCCGCAAATTATGCTATGCAGGGGACAAAAAAAAATATCATAAAAATTTCAACATTTCTTTTTTGCTTTTGCGTTACTGGCTTAACATTTTCTTTTTATTTGAGGCTTCTTCTATGTCGCATCTTTAATGCATTTTACAGGTATGTGTGTGTGTGTGTGTGAGTTCGATCTGTAACACTCAAGACTCTTGGCTGGCACTATTTTAGAAATTTTCAATATCAAATAAAAGCACAACTATTGTATCCGAAAGCTGCCTTAATAGGAAGTGTTTGTGTCTTTTTTGTTGCTGATTCTTGCTGTTGTGACGATTGTGTTTATTCATTATAAGTGATTACCATGTTGGAAGAGTTAAATTCCAGCATGCCTTGCTTAACCACGTGAAGTGTGCCCACAACTGCCTGTTGCTCAGTTTCTTCTTGCCCATCGCTTTGCTGCTCATCATCGTCTAGCTCATCATCTTCATCTGGCTCATCATCATCTGGTTCGTCATAATCTTGCTCGTCATAATCTGGCTCATCATAATCTGGCTCATCATCTTCATCTGGCTCGTCATAATCTGGCTCATCACCATCTGAGTCATCATCATCTTGCTCATCATCGTCTTGCTCAACAGCCTGCTCATTCTCTTCTACCTCCAGATCCTCGTCATCAACTTCTTCGTCGTTGTTATGCTGCTCCCACTGCTCCAATTCTTCACGCCAAGCAGTCTGCTCCTCCAGGAGTCGTATCTTTTCGTCATCAGAGATTGGAGGGCACTCGACTGGAAACTCTTCCTCGATCAGATGATGATGATGATGATGATGATTATGATTATGATGAACATGTTCGCCCATCACTTCCTCGTTCGGCACATCGTCACTGAACGCATTATCTGGCGTTTGCAAAAGACTGACCCCGTGAGAACCCGGATGGTGAATATGATGATTATCTGCTCCTATACTCTCCACTTTACATTTAATAATTCCAATTTCGTGGGCATCTGACTCCCAACCAACCTCACGATGACGTATGAGATTAAACAATTTTTGCGTCAGCGCGCTATTCAGTCGTCCACCATCCAATGCCTCCTGTAGATAACTAAATGCGTAATCCATTTGAACGGCATAGTGCTCCTCCATTAGCGGTCCATATATACGCAACTCCTGATGCAAGAGCCCAATAGGCACGTTCTTCGAAGTCTGTTTTCCCAACTGCAATTCACGGGCTACAAGCAGCAGCAGATCGAGTAGCTCCCCCTTCTCGTACGCATGAAACTCCAATGGACCAATGGCGGTAGCCAAGTGATTGATGTGGTGGTGATTTGCCATTTTGCAACGCGCGGACAAGTGTACTAAGGGAGAGAGGGGGACACATACTGATAAGTATAACAACTGGCACAACTAGGGAGAGAACCGAGTCCAATACATACCTAAGGCGAATCTGCAAGTCCTCAAAACACGAGCTTAGCACACTAAACGGAAAGTTCCAAAATACGAGAAACTTATTGAAAAATTTACAATATATTTGTATATATATTTTTGTGTTACGTTTGTTGTTTTTCACTGTACGAAGTCTGAGCGCTGAATAATGAAAATTCCAGTTGAGCTCGAACGTGATTTTTAGAAAACGTAAAGCATCCTTAGATTGTGAAAGAAAAAGTCTTATATATTTTACATTACAACTAAAAAGCATCGTATACCCTAACAAATTCTCTCAACAAAAAACTCTTGTTCTTTTGCATTTCAAATATTTCAATGATATCCAGGATATTAGAAGGAAATGTATGCATCAGGGCTCGGATGCAGATTGTTCATTCTGTACTACAGAATTGTTCAAAACTTGGTTTCGATCATTAAAGTGGTTTGTAGACATCTCTCGAAAGGCAACTGGAAAGAAAGAGAATTCAATTTCCATTGACTTGAAGCTCAAGAGACATGTTCAGAAATTTATGGACAAACAATTAACATTTAGTTTGTGATCAATTTTGTTTACCGCCATATCTGCAACTTATCTGAAATAGCATGTTAGTGAGTTGATAAGCAAAGCATAGATAAGCTGCAGCTTAAGCTACAATTTTCAAATATTCACTGGACACGCCAAAACTATTTTATTGGTTGGTCATCTTGGCAGTTGCGTTCCGGCACTTTATCCTTGCTCTTATTTGCTTGTCATCTCTACGTGCCGTAACACATTGCCGGGCAGCTCTTTTTAACGCCCCTTGTAATTATCACTTTAATGAACTTTGCTATTTTGATAGTACCCCGGGCAATGGAATGCCCGCGAGCAGAGCCTGTCTGCTTGCCACTGAGTGACAGCTTTAGTTTCAACTCCACAGCGCCAGATCCTGCTCCACAGGCTGCAGTTTTCAACTCACTGTTGCTGTGCGAGGCCAGGTGGCCGCACCGTAAACGTGAACGCCATTGTGTGTGCAACGTTTTGTTGCCTTGACTTTTATTAAGGAATAAAATTAGTAGGAAAGCGTGCCGGGCACGTAAAGCAGAGAAGGCGAAACATGGCCAGAAAAGCAAGCAACCGAGTGAGAGCCAGAGCCAGAGTCAGAGTCGGGGACAAAAAGTTGGCTGCAATGGCGCACAACTTAAAAGTGTAATATGAAACGAATGTGCACAAAATAATGCCAGATAAACGCGCCAATTTCAAGCGGCAACAACGGCTCCCTTTGTTTGCCAGCCTACCCAGCCCTCCAATGCAATGGCCAAGGCTGAATAATGAGCCCCCACACACATAAGTTCTGGCACATAATTGCTATAAAAGATTGCTGCAGAGAGGACTGTACCCCTGTTTGTTCGAGTAACGCCAGCTCCCCCAATGCTAATTCAACTAATTCTAGACACCGATCCACTCGAAGCTCGAGCTCATAAACGGCCTCCTTTGTGGTTGGCCAAAAGCAAGCTACTGCGTTAGCTACCGGTAGCTAGTCACTTTGTTAGTTAGTTACTTTGAAAGTTACTTACTTCATTAGCAATATTGCTCGCTCTCCATAGCCCCCGCAAAGCTGACACCGTTATGTTTTTCTGATCTCATTTATGGTAATTATACCCACCCCAAACCTATATATATCCATCATTTCTTCCATCTTCTGATTCGCTCCACATTCCCCATTCTTGGCAACACAATTACTACTGTTAATTATTTTTCGTGAGCAGAAACCAAATGTGTTTTCAAATTGTAAATATTTTGCAATTGTAAGAACAGCGAATAACATAGGATTGTTCGCTTAAAACGTTCAAGTTTTAAGTTGAAGTTCTCCTATCTGGTACTTAGTTGAGTTCAACAACCGAAACGTATAGCAGATTCCATCTTCTTCGTATTCGTTTTTAGCGAAATAAATCCCGCTTAAGTTCCTCATTCTTCGCTTTCATAATACATATGTACTATATGTATGGAGTTAGGATAATAATACTTCTGAAACGTGATCAAAGCAATTGTGAAGCCCTAGCTGTCCGGAGATAAATCAATCTATTCTATATATTCTATTTTGAAAAAGAAATATTTCCAAACTAACAAATAAATAAATAAATAAAATATTTAATTGATTTATGGATTTTTCTTTATTGTAATAATGGGGCTATTATTCAAATTCATGATAGCATTAATCTTCAAAAATACTTCATTAGCAAAATTGTTCAAGTGTTTAAATTGCACAAGTATTACATCTATAATAAGTAACATTGGTTCATACATAAAGTTAAGTCCACACATGACGAAAAATCGACGAAAAAGCTGCAGCCGCACTTTATTTCATTTGTAAATATTTAACCTTAAAAATATGCTTTTAACTCGTTGAAAAAAAGTATTGAATTCCCATTGGTCAGTCTCCAAAAAAAAGGTTGCATATTAAAGCAAATAAATCAGCAAAAAACCACAACTACAAAAAAAAAAAAGAATGTAATTGCAAAGCAGGATTTAAATAATTACAGGACTTGCTAAGTGGGCGGAGTTGAATTCAAAAAATAATAATAACCTGCAAAGAATGGCAACTGGTATGTTATTTTGTACTATTAAATTGAATATAAAGAAAAAAACAAATGGCACACCCTAAACCCTTTTTATTGCACTCCAAATATTGTCACTTTTTTTGCAATTTTAAAATTTATAAAGCTACGACTTATCGGCATTGAATTTCTAACTTAACCAAACATTCTCTTGAAACATAAAATTTTAATTTTTGATTTAATTTCAATTGATGTTTTCGTAGGTCCTTTGTATTGGAGCGTTTGTGATCGAAACTCCTCACTTCTATTCTATTTAAAAGTTCGTATCGTCTGTGAAAAACTCCATTTAATTTGAGATCAAAATCAGTTGCATAGACTGGAAAAAAGGACTATGCCAGCAGGTCACAAAGAGCCAGAAAGAGCCAAAAAGCGCTTTTAACAAAACTTCCTTTAAAACAATTGACGCTTGCATTTGCAACGTTTGAGCATTGTAATTAGTTGCCAAAGGGGCCTTTGGCAGTAAATAACACGTTATTACATAAAAGTGAAACAACAAAAACGAAAAGTGCAACATAAAATTTGTTTGCAGGCTTTTGAGCATTGAAAACAATTCACAAACGGCCTCAAATTTGCTGCAATTGACGCCATCCTGCCATTACATTCGGCATTCGGCATTCGCCATTCGGTGACGCAAGCAAACCCACTCCCCCACTGCCTCCCCTCCTCCCCATCTGCTCCTCATCGTTCAGTTGAGCGATGTAAAGAAATGCAATGTATAGTATGTATGTAGTGGGTGGATTAACTTTTCTGGGGTTTATTTAAAAATGTTGTGTGAAAATTAAATTGGTTGAAAATTAAAATGTGCCGGCGGCGTTTTGCATTTCACGTTTCACGTTCCATGCTGAGCGGCAATTAATCATAAAAGCAGATTTTTACATGACGTCAAACATGCGCACTCACACACACACACACACACACACACACTTGTAGCTGTTGCTGTGTGGGTGTGTGTGGTGTGTGTGTGTTTGTATGTTTGTGTGTGTTAGCTGTATGCATGAACAGTCCAGTGCCAGGGCCATGGCGATTGCACATAAAATATGCAAAATATCTTGTAATGTGTTTATCAATGTGTGCTGAACACACACACACACACACATGCACACACACACACATGCACACACACACACCCACACACACATGCACGACACACACATCCGCTATCGCACTTGAACTCGCATCGAAACATTTCGGTGCCGCTGTGTGCGCCGCAAACAGCAAACACCAAAAACAAAAAATATGTTTCACAAAATATAGTAATGCAAGAAAAAACAAATAAAAAAAATAATAATAAAAGCAAACTTTATGGAAGGTCCCATACCCTCTGCAACCCAACCAACTGCTGATAGTTCTCTCCAAAAAACCCTCATACTCTTATGTATACTCTGCTGCTCTGTTGTGGGAAAATCAAGCGAATTTTTTGTTTTTCAATTCTTAATACATTGATTCTTATTATACACCCGTATTTGAGAAAAGAAGTAAACATAATTGTGCTAATGTCTATTTTGTTCAAACTAATTCAAACTTGTTATAATACTCGTAGCATATTTTTGGCAGCTAATTCTATTTAGTGTTAAAGTCTACTGAAGACTGGAACAGTTTCTTCAAATTTATTTATTTATTTTTAATATGAGAACGAAAAAATCAGAATTGATTAAAATTGATTGGTTATTCTAACTTCTTGTCACATCAATTCTTCGTTATTTGACAGCCTATTTCGATTTCCATATATTACTATATATATTTATACTCTGTACATGAAATGGACAGAAGTATATTAGGTTTGCGCGAGCTGAAAAATGTAACAGGCAGAAGGAGGCGTGGCAGACCCCACAAAGTATATATATTCTTTATCAGCATGACGAGACGAGTCGATCTAGCCCTGTCTGTCTGTCTGTCCGTCTGTCCGTCCGTATGAACACCTGGATCTCAGAGACTATAGGAGATAGAAACACCAAATTTGGCACGAAGATGCCTTATGTGTGTATTCTATACGAGTTTGTTTTATTTTTTTGATCCCCCCCCCCCACTTCCCCCCTATGGGGGTTTTCCCGATTTTCCATTCGTATAATCGCCTATATCTCGGAGACTATTAGACCTAGGAACACCAAATTTTAGTCCAAGATGCCTTGGACAGAAAATGTATATTTTGGAATTTCCCTCCCTCCCCCCTCTCCCATGCAAATTGCGATTCTCTAACTCCCGTAATTCTTGGAATTTCGAACTAAAATTTTGCAAATACCCCCAGTTGGTTATTATGTGTCCGTATGCCAAGTTTCACTATGATAGACCGATTTAACAAGAAGTTATAGCCATAAATATATATGCTGCTGCAGCGCTGCTCAAGCACTGTCCGCGGCTGTTGTTGATGTTGCTGTTAAGTTGACTGCTAACATGTTTTCACAGACACGAATAGATGCGCATAGGCACACATACACTCACACAGACGTAATTGCTATGTAAATGTGCAATTATACACCATTTACGTGAGTTCGAATACCGAGAAAGGTAAAATAGATACAAAATTTTTTTTTTTAATTTTCTTAATTTTTTTATTTTCTATAATTATTGTAAACATATGTACAGAGTATTTCAAAGTCGGGACTTTAGCTTTTTTACTTGTTTTTGCATCATTATGATTATTTACTTAGTAAAGAAATAAGCAATATAATTGTGTTTGTTTCTGCAAGTCATTTCGATTTCAATTACACTCAATTTACAATACAAAAAAATTCAATCATAAATTCAAATTGAAACAAAATTAAATACAAATTTTACCAACGCAAAAATTTTACATTCAAATGTACCTAAAATTTCAAAAAAAAAAAATTTAATTAATACATATTTGATAAAAATTTCAAAAATTAAAAAAAAATTATTTGGAATTAAAATAAATTTAAATAAAAATATAATACAAATTTAATAAAACTTAACAAACAACATTAAGTAAAATTGTAAAAAAAATATTGAAAATATTAACATTTTAATAGGAATTTAAATTTAATTGGGTTGACAAATAACAACAAATTAATTAAATAAAAATTTAATAATAATTTGAGCAAGAATTTAAAAAAAATTGACAAAAAAAATACATAAAACTTGAAAGTAAATAAAAAATGGATAAAACTGTAAAGCAAAATGTAATGCAAATTAAATAAGAATTAAATTAAATTTTCTAGTTTTCCACACTTTGAACATCACATCTGAAAGCAAGTACAGCACTATATAGCACAGAGTCAAATCAATACACTCGATTTTTGAGAGTGCACAAAAACGCCGTGTCAAAAAAAAAAAAAAGAAATAGAAAACTCTGGATGGCATTCACCATTTACCGCACCGAGCCGTGTGCTGAAATTGGTTCGGTGTGGTTGGTTGGTTGCCTGGTTGGGCACAGCAAATAAATGCATTGAATTAACAAATAGCTTTATGTTCATTTTACAATAAAACAAAAAAAAAATAACAGGAACGGCGAAAAAAATGCCTGTCGCTCTACGGATTTCGCAGCATTCTCGTTTTTCTCTCCTCTCTGTGGCAGGCAGCCAGCTGGTAAAGCTCTTAGTGGATTTTCGTTAAAAATTTAAATATTTCCACAGTTATTTGCGGTTAAATTTTTTGCATGCATTACTCTTTATGTTCGCATTGACTAGATGAGGTGAAAAATTGGGACCACAATGCGCGTGAAATTGCATTTCATATCCATGGCATTGAAAACAGACGCAAAAAACATAAAAACATACCCTTTGAAATCAACAAAAAACACTGTCAGAGTCAAACAGAAAAAAAAAAAACGAAAAAGAAAAGCTTGATTTCAATTTATTCCCAAATTAGTCAATCAAATAAAATGTACTTCCGCTTACAAATCGAACTGCTAGTACCAGCCGTTGGTGAAGTGACAAAACAATTTCGGAAATTCTACAATTCCCAGCTAGCTATGAAATAGTAATCATCTGAGTTTGTCATTTTCTTGTTTTAGTTTTGTGTGCTGTTCAGTCGAGTTCCGAATTTCATTCGAAGCGTTACACACACAATTCAATATCTCGAAATTTAGTAAAAAATCAATTTTTTTTTTTTTTTTCAAAACACAAAGCCCGGTCCAGTAAAACCTAACGCCTAATAATGGGAGTTATCAAGCAATATTTAGCCGGCCTTGCGGCAGCTTTCGGAGCCTTCTGTCTGGGCGCCTCGATTGGATGGTCGGGTCCGGTCGAATTCGCCGTTCTTTCGGGCCAGGCGTACAAGAAGTTCACACCAACTTCCGATGAATGGGGTTGGGTCAGTTCACTGATGACGCTGGGCGCCGCCTGTATGTGTGTGCCTAGTGGGATCCTAATCAAGGCGATTGGACGCAAAATAACGATGTTGTGTCTAGTGTTGCCTTACCTAGTTGGCTGGGCTCTGATCATATTCGCCCAGAAGGTGATTATGCTTTTTGCGGGACGTTTCATTGTGGGTGCATGTGGTGGCGCATTCTGCATTACGGCACCCATGTACACGACCGAGATCGCCCAGGTGGAGATCCGCGGTATGATGGGCTGCTTCTTTCAACTATTGATTGTGCATGGTGTGCTCTACGGCTATGTGGCTGGTGCCATTTGCACCACATTTGTGTTCAACATAGCTTGCGGTGTTCTACCGTTACTGTTCTTTGTATTCTTCGTATGCATGCCAGAGTCGCCAGTGTATTTGGCACAGAAGGGCAAAACGGAAAAGGCGGAGAAGGCACTGAAATGGTTGCGTGGCGGCGATGCGGATACCAGTGCCGAGTTGGGGGCGATGGTCGCATCCGGCAATAAGGAGAAGGTTAACATCGGCGAGTCCCTCTGCCGGAAGGCAACACTGAAGGGCCTCTTCGTATCGATGATGCTGATGTTGTTCCAACAGTTGACGGGCATCAATGCGATCATCTTCTACTCGACCGGCATATTTGTATCGGCCGGCACTGGAATGTCCGGTTCGACATGCACAATTGTGATTGGTGTGGTGATGGTGTTTGCCACCATTCTGGCTGTGCTAATTATTGAGAAGGTCGGCCGGAAGATCCTGTTATTAGTATCCGCAATACTGATGGCCATTACCACTTGTATAATGGGCTGCTACTTTCAATTTCTGCTGACATCGAATGTCGGCATTTTACCTGTTATATCTATTTGTATCTTCATAGTTGGTTTCTCCGTTGGATTTGGGCCGGTGCCTTGGCTACTGATGGCAGAGGTATTCGCCGAGGATATCAAGCCGATAGCTGGTTCGATTGCCGGCACAAGCAATTGGTTGTTCGCCTTCTGTGTGACCAAACTGTTCCCCATTCTGGTAGAGCATTTGGGTACTGGGCCAACATTTTGGATTTTCACCGTCATCTCTGTGGCGGCTGTAATCTTCATTTTCATCTTCGTACCGGAAACCAAAGGCAAAACCTTGGACGAAATCCAGGCTGAGCTTGGCAAGTCCAAAAAGGAGGCCGCATAAATTGCCATCAAACCATCTTAGCTACGACTCTCAACCAACTTACCGGACAATTCATCTTCAACGACAACCATCGAACCAACGAAAAGGAAAATTTTAAATCTGTGTGTTTAGTTTTTGGCAGTTCAATTGTCCCGACAAACAAATTAAATGTTTCACCATTGAAATAATCATTAGCAATAAATGCAACATATAAAAAGTTCACAATTCTCTCTAGCTAACAGTCTATAGTCTCTAAGCAAGCTATCAGCATTTGGCTACATCCTTAGGTACTTGTACATCCTTCCAGCACATAAGTATTTGCCTTGGCTTGTCTGAAGTGGATCGCTATCTAGCTACCTATAAATACTTAATTGGTTAGCTACCGGTAGCTAGGCCTGTATTGCTGCTAATGGCATTTCTTAATTCCTTGTGATGGTCCAGTATTCCACTGTATATTGCATCCCAAGGCTGAAACTGTTGGCGGAAGCGTCAGGTTAGAGGAACTTAACTTAACTTCTCAATCATTTTTCTATTAGAATCCTCAGGATTTCAAAACAAACGCCTACGTATATATTCAGGTTAATTTCCACCCTGTTGCCGGAAGCGTCAGGTCTTCTTAATCATTTTTCTATTGGAAGCCTCAATTGGTCCAAATAAAACAGCATTAAAAAAAAAAAAAAAACAGGTTTAATTTCCATTTGAAATGCCAAAACATTTTAAAAATACTTTCAACATTCTAATGAGCAATTCAATTTGTTGATTCATAAATACATTTCTGTGTTGTTTTTTTGTTTTTTAATTTTAAAAATATTCTCAAGTGCCCTTTTGCGAGTCTCACTGATGTGCTAATTAATTATTTATTTGTAATTATTACTAATTGTGCTTTGCACAGAATAAAGCTTACAATTCCTGTTTCCCCACATCCAACTGAGTACAACTCCTACAACAACAACAGCAACAACAACAGCAACAACAACAGCAACAACAACAGCAACAACAACAGCGTCAACAACAACTTGAGCGTAATGCGCCTAAAACTTTTTGTGTTTGTGCCAAAGGACCTAATCCGCACTTAGGACCGATATTAAATCGCATAAACAAAAACAAAACAGCAACAACGACATCGGTTGTACTTTTTTATTAACACCAGCGTCCGGAACACACATCCAACAACAACAACAACAACGAGAACAAGAACGGCAACAACATGCGAGCGAATTGTGTCTGTTTGTTGTTTGTCCTTTTTTGTTGCTGCTTTTTTTGTTTTGTTTTGTTCTGCTGCTCATTTCGAAGGAACCGTGCCGCAGTTTGAATAATTTAAATATAATAATCCTTTCAGGCAACTGGGTGTGTGCGTGTGCGTGTGTATAGCTCACATATTTTATTTTCTTTTATCCTGGCGCCTTTTGCTGTTTCTCTTGCACTGCTGCTGCTGTTGTTGTTGTTGTTGTTGTTTGTTGCGCCTTACTTGTATTATTCAATTATATTATTCATTGCCGTAATATTGTATTTTATGCGTTTCGACGGCAACAACTGATTTTCATGGCACACTGGCAGAAGCCACAAAACAGCCAGCCGACAAACAACAACCACAACAACAATCCACAACCGAATCGGCAACCATTTTGTTTTTTAATGAAATTATTTAAGATGCGTGCCCGAATCTCAAGTTGTTTGTTTGTGTTTGCCAATGGAGAATAAGTATCGGATATTGGATGTTCCAACTACTTACTATTCACGAAATTCGATCTTTTGCACACAAATGTTGATTTTATGCCCAGCGTGCAGCTAGCTCTTTGGCCATCAAACAAAGATACTAGCAAGAATGCCAACAATTGTTATTACAATAAAAAAAACGATCAAAATAAAGTGCAAAAACTAGACTCTATGGTCACGTAAACAGATTAACATCAACAGATTGTGCAGATTAATATCATAAATATAATATAATACACTCCGAAAGGTACAGAAAGACCGATTGAAGTGAAATTTAAGTTGTTTAAGCATTCTGTAAGCTTGTGTTTACTTTAATCAAGAGATTGGAAAAATGAGTGAATGGTTTGCTGCATTAATCAAATAATTTTAGATCTAAACTCAAATAATTTGAAACCTTTTTAAAGGGAAATATTTTTGAGCACAAATAAATGTAAATAAGGAATCGGGTTTGAAACATTTCGAAACAGTTTTGAGCCAGATTTGAATAATATAACCATTTCAATATAAGGAAATCTTTGTAGGATTATATTGCAATTGCAATTGTTGTGCCAATTAATAATAATTTAAAGACCAAAGCTTGGTTTTTCTGCACTATCCTTAATTATGAGATCTAGCCACTGATAGTCTGGCATAAAGATTGAAGAATATATCTATCTATATATCTTTACATTTCAAATGACACCATGATTCAGCGAGTCATAGCATCTTTAATACGTATACGCAATGTTGCCAGTTACAACAAGTATTTTATTTAGTATACAATTTGTTTACCCTGTAATACTCAAAAGGTAAGAATCCGTTCGTATAACTATCCGTTCCCCTGTGGCTTCTTGTCACACAATGTGGTTAATTCTATGTAAAAGACTGTTCATTTAAATAAATTCTCTTCAATTGGCTTTTTTTGTACAGCACTCTATTACTGTTTGGCAGGCATTTTCTAATTTTAAAATTTTAACAGAGATGTGTCTAATTTTATTTAATTTCCATGTTTTTCAACTTCGATTACTAGACGACTTTTTGCATCACACAACAATTTATAGGTGCTTAGAAGGCATTATGTTACACCCAAGCTTTTTTCATTTCCATATTTTGTTTTTAAAAAGTAAAGATAGGTCGTTTCCATTTCGATCAAACACAATTACACATGAGAATATCATACTTTTAGAAGTCAATTTTTTGTTTTGTTTACAAAATATTGCAAATATAACGCACAATTCCAGCATAAATAAAGCATTTGCTAGCATTTTATCGAAACTTTTTAATAATTGTTAATTCCTCAAAATCTTGTGAAACTGAAAAGAAATTGACAAATTGTAGACAACAGGGAAAGACTTGCATTTCAATCCAAATTCATTGTTTATTTAAGCTAGATATGTTTACAATAAAAAGCCCGGAATTGAGGCAAAGTAGAGTATTCATTTGCTTTTGTTTCAAACACTTTTATGATATTTTTGCTATTTTTAAGCCAAGCAAGAAAATTGTATAATGGCCGACTAACAAGCAGTAAATACTGCATATGTTGGGACATATGTACATATATACATATGTATGTACAAGTATATATAGAATACATGGAAATTTAAAATAATCTGATATGCTTGCTGTGCAGCCGAAGGCAAACATGAATTGTTGGCAAAACTTGCGGCTGGTCTAAAAATAATAATAACATACTATATACATTTATAGTATATTTCCATATACAATATGTGCATATATTTATATGCATTTGTATGTGTGTGTGCTTAAAACTAAACTGCCTTTAATAAAACGAGCCTGAATTTAAGGCGAGGGAGAAAAGAATTATTGCTAGTGGCCCAAAAATATTGTAAGCAGAAAGACGAAGACCACATGCTGACAAGCAACAAAAGTTTGCAGCGTCAACAATAACTAAAAAAAAAAAAAAACACACACACACATGCAGACAAAACTAAAAGTGTAGGAAACAACAGAGTAGCCACAGAAGAAGAAGAAGAAGCAGCAGCAGCAGCACAAAAATAAAGTAAATAAATAAATATGTAAAAATGCCAAAAAGATTGGCCGAAAGTGAAAAACTTTGATATGAATCTAAATGGCATCATCAGCATTGACTTTTGTGCCAAATGCGACACCAAGAACAAAAATAACAACAACAACAACAGCAAGGACAACAGCAACATCGCAGCAATGGCAACGCAATCAACGTTACTGCGATTGACACAGAGGCTGGGGGACCTGGGGGGATAGAAGCATGGCAGAGGGATCAAAATATAGAGCCACTTGCTCGCTTCCTTCCTTTCTTTTTTTCTCCTTTCTTTTCTCTTATTTTTTTGTTGACTGCCAAGAAGACAAGCCACGAAGCCAAACAACAATTGAAAGACAAACAACAACAAAAATTGCAAATCATTTTGCGGGCGTTACATTTTATTTGGTAGCATTTGGGGAATCCGAATCCATATCCGAATCCGATGCGGCATCCAAGGCGTCGACGACATCAACATCAACAGCTCAGACGATTTCGCATCACATGGTCGCTTCTGCGGCAACATTTTTGGCTTTGTAATGCAAATAGTTTGGCAACACGGGCACCCGATAGTTGTGTTCAACTGTAAAGCAAACGATGGACGACGAATGCGATGGAGAGAGTTGTGGGTATGATGGTTATACATTGAGGCACAATTTTGATATATGTATGTATACGAGTATTTTGCGTATTATTTCAACTCACTTTTGTAGACGTTGAAGCCGTTCTCGTCGGCTATGTAGTATTGCGTTTGGTATTCGTGTTCGCGACCCGGTATTGGCACAGAATCGTAGCCCTCCTGCACATTGATTACCTGATCGCCCACCAGCTTGTTGTACATTTTCTTATAGTTCACCAAACCGTTGCTCAGCGCCAACCTAAAATTAAAATTGTGAGTTCAAATTCGAATACTCGTACACTATCAGGCTTAAGTCAAATGATGGATATCTATAATTAGTTTTTTGGCAAACTATTCGTATTGCTCAAATACTTACAAAAGCTTTCTAAATATTTTAGCTTAAAGTTGAACAATCAGTGTAATTCCCTAGCCATCTCACATCTGCTTGTCAAGCAAATCTTCCAATTTTAAAAAACAAGTTGGCAGATTTTGAGAATAAGGGATGAAGTGGAATTTATTTCTAGTACTTCGTTGGCTAAGTAGGTCTGCTGTTTGTTAAGTTAAACAGCAGTAGTGCCTTAGACCTATTGAAATAAATCCTCGTATAATTGAAGTAAACATATAGAGAGAAAGCACATTCTAAGGCTTCTTTCTTTAGTGAAAGCTCTACTTAATTTCGGTTTCGCAGTATGGAAGAAATAACTAAAGAGTTATACCTATTGTATAGCTACCTTTTAAAGAAACATGATCTAAAGCCTTCGAGAAGATTCTTGATAGTGAATACTACTGCCAGTTGAGGAATTTAATGTTTTTACTACAATTCCATAACTTTTACAATTTAAAGTTTTGCAAAAATCATTGAAAAAGCTAAAAATAATTTCAAAACAAAATTCCTGCCCCGTTTATGTTTAAAAGCTACATTGTGGTTAAATATGCCAGAAGACGAGGTTTAAATATTGAAGCTGAAACATTTTGTCCCTTTTTTGAGAAGGTTCTAAAGGTATACAATATAGTATTAGTACTACAAGTATATATAAGATTCGTGCTGAACTAAAACCTCATTTCTGAATAAAAGCTCTAATTTTGTTAGATATTTCAGAATTTCCATCTAAATTATAACATTTTGTCCCTTTTTAACAAATGTCTGTTGAATGCTTGAGCAAATTCTTGAAGGAACAAACTGCTGCTACCTGAGCCGCAAAATTAAAAAGACAAAAATCCATTTAAATATCGGTGCTATAATGTAGTGTCCCTATACAAGTAACTAAGAGCAACTTACTATTTTTCAGGGAAAGTACTTTGGTTTGTGAAAATACTTTTGTCGTTCAATGTTTATACAAACACACATACACACACACCTACATACACAGTTACACGCATACACATACACATTTTTATTCGCACTTACTTATACTCAGCAGTGCCATTTGGATGCACAACGTGGTAATCCTCCAGCACATAAACCAAGGACTCTGAAGGAGCGACAGCAACAGCTGGAATTGTTGGTCTTGTGGACAACGGCTTGACTGTGGTTGTTGTTGTTGATGTTGTTGTTGTTCCTGTTGCTGGGGCTGGGGCTGGCTGGGCCACAGAGACTGGCAAGTCATCAAAGAAATAATCAAGATTTTCCTCTTCAAAATCCATTTGCGGAAATACGACCAATTGATCCTCATACAATGGCAACAGAGGAGATGCATTTGTTGTTGAAAAAGGCTTCCGTGTAGTTGTTGTAGTTGTTGTTGCTGTTGCCTCGACAGTGGTCGCAACACTATTGCCAACATCATCACCATCCTCAATGTCATCGGGCCAAACAACCAATTGTAATTCATAGACTGGCTGGCTGTTGACCCATTGTTGTTGCTGCAGTTGTTGTTGTTTGTGTGCGCTGTGCTTTTGTGATTTTGATGGCACAGTTGCTACTGCTGCTGCTGCTGGTCTTGCCACTAACACTGGCTTATTAGTAGTTGCAACCAAATAGTGATTGTTGTTGTTATTGTTGTTGTTGTTGTTGTTGTTGTTGTTGTTGTTGTTGTTGCTGCTGCTGCTACTGCCCTCCCACTGCAGTTGGATCTGGCAGCGTCGGTCGCGTCCATTGTCATGCAATGCCAATAGCTGCTCTAACGAGCCCATTGTCAGCTCGGCCAACTGCGCTTGACCCGTCGCTGCATTGCGAGCCAGATTGAAAGTCAATTTGCAGTCAACGTGTTGCTGCTCCTTGAGTGTCCTTGCTGCTACAGTTACAGCTGCTGCTGCTGCTGCTGCTCCTGCTCCTGCGTCAGTTACTTCTGGTGCTTCATCCGCTTCAGATTGCTCCCATGTCGTTGTTCCTGTTTCTGTTGCTGGCATTGCGGTCGTGTCATCGCCATTGCTGTTGTTGTTGTTGCTGGCTGAAATGCTTGCGGTATCAGCGTCGCCATCTTTGCTTTTCGTGGTCAACGTAGGTGTCATCCATGTTGCCGTTGCTGCTGTTGTTGTTGTTGTTGGTGCTGCCATAGCAGCAAGTAGCATGGCCTTTAGCACAATTAGTGCCAACGCATAGTGTTGCCACATTGATGACATTTTCAACTGCACTCTCTCACACGGGCACTCTACTCCCTCTCTCTTTCTCGATGTCTCCTTCTCTGTTTGTTTCGCTATCAACTGTGCGTGCGCCAAGCGCTGCTTTTGTTGTTCTTGTTGCCCAACTGGCATGCCTTGTATTTATACCCGAAAAGCCAAAGAATGCACTCAGCATCGACGTCAACGTCAGCATCAGCACCTTCTCTTCATTATCATTATCGCAGTCATCGGTGACGTCGAAGTCGACGTCAACGTCAACGTCGGCAGCAATTTAATCAACACCACTTTGCCAGTTACTGCCAATGGTAAATAATTGGACGGACGGCATTTCTTTTTCTTTCTTCTTGTTGTTTTTTACTCTTTTATTTTACCGTTAAGTCTGCTCACAATGCACACAAACAGAAAATGCAACGCAAAAAACAACAACAACAACAAATATAACGGTAATACGCATTTTATTATGCATATGAAGCGGCGTTTAACGGATGAGAACTGGATTATTATATGGCCAGCCTTCCATACATTTATTATTATGTGTCATTTACACAACCACATTTATTTTCTCGATCTGTTGGAGAAGCCAAATAAGTGTCGCATAGAACTTCGAGTAATACCAATTATTTATTTATTTCGTTTGTTTATTTTGCTCATTTTCTAAGCTTGTTTTTTTCATTGCATTCGTGGATTTTTAAGTTTAAAATTTCCAATTTCCAATTTTTTTTTGGTTTTCTGTGAATCTTCAAGCCTCTACGCAAAAACTAACGGTTAAAATAATATCAATGTCGATTTAAGAACATATGCTGGATAAGTAGGATGTGAAGATTACAAGAGATAATGAATGGAAAGCTAAATTTTTTAATTAAAGAGAAATACATCAGTTTTTGGCCAAATTTAATTTACAGGAACAATAAAATATTACAAATAAATAATAAAAACAATAAATGAATCAGAGTACTAAACGATTATTATTCGATTTCGCTTCGGGCTTGTCACTTAGTTGTTGTAATTCGAGCACAATCTGGTTTTTGAGTGTCCGGATAGAGTTGTACAGAATTTCTGCAAATAGCCTGGTCACCCTGTTTTGACAAATGAAAAGCCTGGCATGACGTCTTTAGGGTCATTTCATTACTGCTGCCTGCTCTCGTCTTTTATTCGAAGTGCTGAAGAAACGGTCTTTCGGAATACCTCCTCTGGCCACTCTATGCTCAGCTCGTTTATTCGGCGGGCTTGGCTTTAGGGCTCGCGGTACGCATATAATTCCGCTCCACACCTCCCTCCCCCCTCTGGACATGCATCGCTGCTTTTCGCATTGCCGTGCATTGTCATCTTCAGAGATGGGTTGGCGTTCGCTGCTCATTCTTTTGGTCATTTGGGCGACATCATTTATAATAAGATTTTCGCGTTGTAAAATTCAACCATAACCCATGCTCCCTCCCCCATTAAAAAAAAAAAAAAAAAAAAAAACAATAAAAAAATCCGTTGCATTTTCGGTGCAAAGCGGCGAACAGCATTTGGGGCCATTAACGATGCGCCTGTTTGGCTTCGCTTGGATGCAGGGATTCTGCAGATGACGCAGCGGCGTCGCTTTGCTCACGACCTCGCTGCCGACGTCAACGTCAACGTTAAAGTTGGCGCCAGCTTTGACGCTGGCTTTGCCTTTTGTTATTGCATTTCTTTTGCGCATCTTGCATGTTGTTCGTGTTGTTCTTTCTGTTGTCATGTGTCATAAAAAATATTTTATGTTCTTAAGCGCTGAATTATAAAGCAGATTTTTGTGCTCACATTAAAGAATTGAGAATGCCCCCCTTAAAATGCATGACAACGTTTTTAAAGTTACTGCAGCCAAAAAGCGGGGCTCCCAGAGCTTCATATCACAACGAAATATGTATGTGCTGTACACTGCCTGCCCCCTGGGTTTCTTGTTACTGGAGCACAGGCGGAACATTATTTCGGATGCTTCGGGGACTACTATGGGTCTACATTTAACAACAACAACTTCTTGGCCGTACTTTTTGTTCGATTTTGTAACAATGATTTGGTTTTGAGAACACTCGATTAGCTCCCACCCCAGCTCGAACTGACAGTAAAACAAATACCCTTCCTGGCCATTTGAATTGGATAATTGGGTCCAGCGGCCTGTTGATTGTTTTCAGAAGGAAGCAGCCGCAAAATATGCAAAGTTATATTTGTATTATTATTTTAATTTTCATGCGAACGGCACAAACAAACAACACACACACAGCATGCGTCTTTAATGTGCAATTTGTCAAAACTTGTTTGATTTATGAGTCAACGCCAGCAACAAGAACAACAGCAACAATGCCAGGCAATAGAAATAGCACCAGAACAACAACAATAATAACAATAGCAAGTATAACAACAACGACGACGACACAACTGTCAAACAAGGAACAAAACTTCCATCAGCTTTACAGCTTTCCCACCGCGCCGCCGCCCCATTCAACGGGCACTGTTACTGCCCAGCGGCCGCTTTCCCTGCTAATCGCCAATAGAACTTTAAACAGCAGCAGCGACAACAACAACAACAACAAAATTACCAACAACAGCAACATCAACATCAACAAAGAAGTGTAATGTAATCTGAGCCTCAACAAATTGGTCACCAGAGTTGCCATCCTCGCAAATCTGTCGCTGTAGATTGAGGTTTTGATTGTTATGCGGGCGTGTCTGCGTCCGTGTGTGTGAGTGTGTGTATGTGAGTGTGTATGGCATGTACATGAAGAATTTTCCTGCGAATATTTCCCAGCAGTTGGCGCAAATAGTACAGTACATACTAGTTGTTTACTTTACAGCTCATTTAAATGCTGCAATAAGAACAACTCAGTTATGGAATATTCGCTTGAATGCATTTTCCGCTCAATTACGAATGATGCGGTCAGATAGGCAATTAATTTTTTTTATAATAACAGCTATATTTTTAGACTACTGTTAAGATTTAACGGCATTTTATATGGCAGAAATTATAAAAAAAAATTGAGTTGGTTTCTCAGTTTCAACAAAAAACTAGATCTGCAAATTGGAACTAATAGAGTTTTATTAAAATCAAGCTAAATTTCTAATCGAATATTTTAGTATAGCGCCAAAACACCCAAACACTACATAGGATTAAGTTATCCAGCATCATTTAAGACCTTAGCTAAAGGCAACGTCAACTCCTTCAATGTCAAGTCATAAAGTATTTAGGTTTTATAAGACAGTAGTTTTTGCGAGTTGAGCTTTAATTGCTAACAGAGCTTTTGGGGTTCTGAACACTGCACATAAAGCTCTCTAATTTAATCATAAGAAGGGAGAAATGCACAGACTATAAACCAGGCTTGTGGATATAAGATAGAAGATCTTACAAATGGTTTTATTGTTATAGGCAAGGGGAAACAAATGTTATGGTTTGGGTAACATTTCATTTCTAATGCAATAACTAGTATTAAGGACGCACTAATCAGTCGATAGGAAATCGGAATCTTTGATCACTGAGAACAAAATTGATCAACCTCAATGGAACAAGCAAATATTTACAGTTAGATATAACCAGAACTTTCAAAATCTTCAATAACTTTACAAATTGTAAAAAAAAAAAAGAAAATGTTGGGTATTTCCTACATAATTCACCAAAAAAGCAATCTGATCTGGTGGAAATAATCTGTTATTTATATTTTTTTTAAAAAAGAAAAAACTGTCAAAAAAAATTATCAAAAAATACCATTGAGGTAATTAGTTGAAAGGTAATGATGACCACTGGAAATGTTACGAGTACAGCTCTGGAACTGCAGTGTTGCTTTCATATTGTGGCTTTAAGTATAGACTGAAATGTAATCGTTGGTTCCAGCTGCTCCCCAACTTAAAGGCATTTCAATTATTTTACAATTCACTTGAATTTTATGCGTTCCAATGCCTCCACAAGTGCAATTCATTTTATTTCATTGACTAAAGTTATTGGCACTTGAGCCAAAGAATCGAGCCATTAAAACCAATAATTTGTAATTCCAATTCAATAGCAGTTGATGAATTTTATTGCTTGAAATGCGAGTAAATTAATACAAATTGAGTGAAGGGACTACAAATAAATAGCATTCTACCCTCCAGTGCTGGCGATGGGTATGAGATGTGCAGAGTAGAGTTGCAAATATTCGATAACCAGCTCAGCAGATATATAAGTACTTACATATATGCAGACTATCTATATCAGTTCGGCTCTTTGCATTGCATATCAGATTTAAATTATTTCAGCATTTCGCCTGCAAAAATACAAAGATATTAAGTGCATTTTACCGGTACTGATACAGCCTCGAACATTACAGGTACAGCTCATTAAACAGTTGCGGTTGTGGTTTGATTCCGAGCTGACATGTCGAGACAAGAACAGTCTTGACTTGATGGCATCTTTAGACGAAAAAAGGGTTTAAAATATCCAAAATATTTACCAGTTTAGTCCACTGTGTCATTTAATATCTAAAAGCTTATATTCAATTTAATATATTTCTAGACTACTTTACAGGCAATCCAATTATTACGATTAGCGCATGGTGAATAATTTTCTATTATTGTATTGCCAAAATACTAAATTATTGGCAATGTTAGATTTTTGACAAAGTGCAACAAAATCTTTTAATTGAATTATTATTAAATTGTGTAAAATTTGTTGAAAAAATTCGTTAAATGTGGTCCTTATATGCAGCAACACAAAGATATAGTATAGCCTGATTTAGCTCGATGATCGCCGCATGAGTGTGTCAGAAAGCTGATGATGCTCCGAAGGATATCCCGTGCAATGGCTGTTTCGGCAGTCCACCGGCTAATCCTCTAAAGAGTGAGGCGGGTTATGGTAAAAAGCTTTTCGGACAAACCTACGGTTAAAAATGCTAAACGAATAGCGTCCGAAAAATGTGAAAAGTCGGACAAGACCTACAAGTCACTTCAACACAAATAGCACCAGAGATAAAAGAAGTTCAGTCCAATACCCTTTATACGAGACCCTTAAGATTTACTCGTGAATTTCGTAACCTTCGATTGCCTATTTGTAGATCTAGCTTAGCTTCACATGAACCCTTTCGTATGTTGAGCTCTAATTACAATCTTTTTTCACACAACATAGCCTTCGAACACTCCATTAAGACTATTTCATCATTAATATACTTGATTCTGATAATCTCTAATCCTATCTCACTCTACTACTTGTTGCACTTGTTTGAATTTTATTTGTAAGTTATACTATTTAATATACTGAATTCTTTTGTATATTTATAAGGTTTTTTTTAATTTCTTCTTCTTATTATTATTGTTATATTTACATTGTTAGTTTTCTTGTAAAGTTAGCAGTTCTTTGTTAACTATAATTAAATAAATAAATATCGTAAGTCGGGTATAACGCGAGGCTGGGTGCAAAGTCAATTACATACAAACGTTTGACAGTCCATATAATAGCAATTGCATATTTGTTCTAACGAAACTATATATAATTTTATACTTTTCCACACTTGTTTAACTGTTTCGTTGTTTCGCGGCATTTGTGCTTACATTGCATTTTACATTAATACCTTAAATATTATGTAATTCCGCCAATTGACCCACTTGGCCAATGAATGCCACAACAGGTTTCCCGAAGCCAAAAGGCAAAATAAAAAAATCAAGAACCAAGAATCAATAAAAGCTTAAAACGTAACGGTGCTCAGCCAGCATTATTTAATTAAACAAATTTGTGGCAATAAAAGCTTAAAGGCTTCATAAAATGCCGCCCACGTGTACCCGAAATATACGCCACAATGCGAACAGAGGCGATCATATAAAGAGCTGGATGAGTTGAACAGGTGGACCAGTAACAACCAACAACAGCAGCAGTAAACAGTGGCAGTAACACTAACAGGAGCAGCAAATAACATGAACGGTTTTTTGGGTTTGGTAATGCTGCTCAGTGCAGTGGCGGCGTCGGAGAAGCCACCAATGCCAACAATGGCCACACTGACCACCACGACAACAGCCAGGACTACAGTCAAGGCAAAGGACGATGTCAGCAACATGGACAAACGCGACAAGAGACAACTGGTAAGCAAGATATAAACAATAGCCACCATATCTTAATATATAACTGATGCAAGTTATATAACAAATATATACATCTGATTATTTTTCGCCAGTCAGAAGATATATACATATTTCAAAGGTCCCTACAAATCGTTTTCTTCCCTATTTGCTTTTGCCATGTGTTGCAAATACATACTCTTTTTTCTTTTTCATGAGAGGTTATTCCTTTGCATCATTCTTTCTTGCATCATCGTTTATATATACATACATATCATCCTTTGCTAGTCCATGGCTTATCTGCCATGTCTTTAACATGTCTTTGTAAATGAAATTTGAACTTTGCATTCGTGCAGAAAAATAAAATATGTAATCAAACAGTCGAAATAAAATAGTTAAAAAAGAATACTCTTTACGAATAGGATATGCAATTTTTGTTACAGAGCGGAAACCTTTATTTTATTATCTTATTAGGGTAGTAAGAAAGTTGTAGTTTTTGCCTATTCAGCAACAATTTGAATTGAAACGAAGAAACACAAATAAGTGTTAAATGGTTAAAATGTAAGGTTTCTTAAATCATCTTCTCAGTCATCTCATTCATCTGCAACAAAATAATATATTGGCGATGACTTAGCAATTTTCAACCACTCAGATCATCCGTTACTTAAAACCGCAAACAAAGCTTAATTTATTTGTTTCTTAAATCATCATCGCATTCATCTCCAACAGGAATATATTTGTGCGAAGCTCAACCAAATCTCAACCACTCAGATCCCTCTTTACAACTAAATTAAGGTCAACCGTTTCGATTTCCTTTCTTAATCTTCAGTTGATACATCTGCAATATATTTATATATTTAAATAAGAACACAAAACATCCACCTGACAAGCGAGGCTATCAACAAAGTGTTTATTTGTCTTGCCTCTTCTTCATCAACTAAATCAATTACCGTACGTTGCGGTTAAAAACGAAGTCAATTCTTCTAGCTCACATTTAAATAAGTAATCTTAGGAAAAGCCCAAAAAATTGTCAATTAAATGAAGGTTAGATTTGTGAAAATCGTTCAAATAAGACTTAGGGGTTTTTAATGAGCGCTTACTATAATAAATCCAAATGATCCTGAGCCTTTAATTTAATCAAATATCTAGATATTGCTTCTCACTCCAAACGTTTTCTTTTACACCTTTGCCTAAAATACAGCCAGAAAAGTTGACAAGAAAGGGGAAACTTGTATATAAAGCTGTTGACGAATTAGCATAGCTGGGGCCCCCATAAGTTGAGCTCTAAAAAGTAATTTAATTTAAAATTTGTCTATTTCGACAGCGAAGCAGCAATGGCTACCCCATATTCTTTGATGGCGTTAATCCGGGCGTGCAACCAATTTCGGTCGTAACGCCGGTGGCGTCGAATGCGAATGCCCAGGTTGGTGGCCAACAGCCGAGCTTCTTGCCCAACTTTGGATTTGGCAGCCAGCAGCAACAACAACCATTGCCCATCATTGGAACACTGGTCGGCAACCTGCCGGGTCTGCAGGGTGGTCTGCCCAATCTCCTGAACGGCCTGGGTCCTCTGGCTGGTTTGGGGGGCTTGGGCTCGCTTGGCGGCCTCAATTTGGGCAACCTGGGTATCCTTGGCAACCTGGGAAACTTGGGGGGCAATGGGGGGCAGCCCATTCTGCCGCCTGTGCTCGGGAGCAACGGGAACAGCAACCCAGCCGCCTCCTGTCCCATCACACAGAGGCTGACGTGCCGCTGTGAACCATTGTTGTCGCTGCAACCACTGCAAGGATTGTCGCTGCAACAACCACCCAAGGCCCTGGGTTCAACGCGCCAACAACAACAACAACAACTGCACATCACGAAACAGAATGTGCGACGAAATGCCGACGGATCCCGAGAACTGCGTCTGGTCCTCAGCAATGGACTGATTATCTATCAGCATAGCGGCAAGGAGCGTGCAAGCGGCCAACAAGGACAACAGGGACAACAGGATGTCAATGTGAACCAGGGCTACTACACACTGCGATTGGCCGATGGGCGCTACTTCACCATTTTCTATACCATCAACGATTTCGACTATACGGTCAAGGCAGATGTTAGCAATGCGCCGCCCAAATCCGATTTCGACGATGAGCTCAATGGATTGCTTTAGAGCATTATTTATTCATTCATCTTTTTTTTTTTTGTCATTCATTTAGGATAACTTTTCCTACAGTTAATGGTCATCAACATTTAAAAAAAATACAAATGCCAGCTTATGTTTTATCGAAAGCAACTCTTAGAACATTTGTGTAGAGTGGAATAATAAAAGAATCTTTCCAAATAGCTGGAAATACTGCAGGATCGCAGAACAAATTAAAATGCTTTGGCAATTATTGAGTCCAGAGGCGATAAAGACACTAACTACAGCTATTACTAATTAGAATAGAATTACACGCATAGTCTTTTGATTGAAATAATTTGACAATTAATCAACAAGAGCGAGAGAGAAAAAATGAAGATGATTCCATTAAAGATTTACGCTTGGATTTGGCGAAATTGTAAACACACTGAGTAAAAAAAAGTTCGACTTGCCTAGAAAGTATTTAAAAAAGTTAAAACAAGAACCAGATTGCTGAAACTTTTTCAAATACGGAAACCTAATATTTAATTTAGGAACTCTACGAAAAAACTGAAGAGACTTAAGAGAGGAGAATTTAAACAAACTTGCAATTATAAATAGATTACTTACTGAAAAAAAAGAAAGTTCCACTTGGCGATAAAGTATTTCGAAAAGCCAGATTGCTGAAACTTTTTCAAATACAAAACCTAATATTCAATATAGACACTCTAATTATAAAGAAAAGGGGCTTAATAGAGTATTGGGAGGGAGAGAGAGAGAATTTAAACAAACTTGCAATTATAAAAAGATTACTTAGAGTTACGAATACTCTGATACTGAAAAATAAGAAAGTTCCACTTGGCGATAAAGTATTTCGAAGAGCCAGATTGCTGAAAATTTTTCAAATACAAAACCTAATATTCAATATAGACACTCTAATTATAAAGAAAAGGGGCTTAAGAGAGTATTGGGGGAGAGAGAGAGAGAGAATTTAAACAAACTTGCAATTATAAATAGATTACTTACTGAAAAAAAAGAAAGTTCCACTTGGCGATAAAGTATTTCGGCTCTTCGAAAATTTGCTGAAAATTTTTCAAATACAAAACCTAATATTCAATATAGACACTCTAATTATAAAGAAAAGGGGCTTAATAGAGTATTGGGAGGGAGAGAGAGAGAATTTAAACAAACTTGCAATTATAAAAAGATTACTTAGAGTTACGAATACTCTGATACTGAAAAATAAGAAAGTTCCACTTGGCGATAAAGTATTTCGAAGAGCCAGATTGCTGAAAATTTTTCAAATACAAAACCTAATATTCAATATAGACACTCTAATTATAAAGAAAAGGGGCTTAAGAGAGTATTGGGAGGGAGAGCGAGAGAGAGAATTTAAACAAACTTGCAATTATAAAAAGATTACTTAAAGTTGAGGAACTTTTATTTCTAGCACTATGAATTTAGCATTCGATATTAATTTATATCTATTCTCATTTGAGAATATGTGGAGAAACATATTGTGCAAATTTTTATTAACGACAGACGTTTTATGGAAATTATTTGCAACAGCAATCCGCTCATTGCCCTATTTTGAAAGTTCTTGCTTCGAGATCTAAATATTTTGTGCAAAATCGAAACCAACGCTATCTTTTTTTTACACCACAGCCCAGCCCAGCTCTATTAACTTCTTCGTAAATCGCCAACGTTTCTCCCCCTTCATATTGAATACTTATGCATGAATTGATCGAATGTTTTGTTTGTTTATATTTTTTCGAAATCCTTTCTGCCATAAAATGTTCGGAACAAACGCTTTGCTCTATTGCCTCCATTGCTCTACGAACTGCCGGACGGTGTAAGAGAGATGGGGGCTGTGGGAGCCGCTTATGAAAAGTTTGCAACAAGTTCGGGCCGAACATTGTGGCAAAAGCCATTGCTCCATTGGGGCCCCAACTTTTTAGCAACTTCATTTTTGTATGCTGAGTGACCCAACGTGACAGAGAAGGACAAGAAAAAACCATAAAGTTGATAATTTGCTTGCTTTTATTGCCATTCCGATTGTAGTTGCTATGATTGCTGTTATTGTTGTTGTTGTTGTTGCTATTCTTGTTGTGGTTATAAGTAATTGTTTTGAATATAAGAGAGCATTTATGGCTATCATTTTTGTTGGCGTGATGTTCCCCAACAACAATAATCAGGCCATGAATGGACAGACAAGAAGCTCCGAGATTCGAATTAGCTGATGGATGGCAAATGACAGATGAGTTCCGATTGTTATCTCACAATATTTGATGAGAAAACATTTCAGAGTTGAATCTGATAAATAAAACTGATCAAATACATATGCATATATAAACAGCTGAAAAGTTACTTCAAGAAAGACACAAATCTACAAGCTGTGGTGTTGTTTCGAAAACATTCCTCATAAGCTGTAGTTCTCACAGCGAACGCTTCTGAAGGCAGAAATATTCCTATGGGTATTAGATATATTTGTTCTATAATTGCATATTTTAATGCGCAAATCAATACTTTGGAATTGTCGCGGTAATAACTCATTAGCAGATAAACTGATGGGCGGGCGAACCCACAAACCAATTATCCAGCTCGAATATGAAAGTTCTACGAGACAGACGGACATTCGGACAGACAGACAGACAGACAGGCAAAATGGGACGTGCTTGGTGGACAGCAGTAAGCCGCAGACAGGCAATATGCCAGAACCGAAGTCCCAGAGCGGCGCTTCACAGAGCCATGGACAAGTGAAAAGTTTTCGAAAATCATAAATATAACCGCACCCACAACTCTGCCGTAGCGTCCCAAGTCCCCCCACGCAACACCAGCAACATTGCCGAAGCCAACGATTGTTAGCCACAATGGCAACAATTGAAATCGCATTCGTTGCCATTACCAAATGAAGCTTAAAGCAACAGCGCCAGCTGGTCGAACACTGCACGGCACCCGCAATCCGCAATCCGCCATTCACCATCCACCAGCAACAACAACCATCCCGTCGCCTGTCATTCCGACAGCCGCCAATCCTGCAATCCACAACAGTGGCCAGCAAACCGTAGTGAGGGATAGATACAAATGTACGAGTACTCGTGCATAGAGAAGCCAGAGGCACCCCGTCATTTTCCCAGGCATCGTCGCTGGCGGTAATTACGCATTACCAGCTGACTGCCACTTAATGGCTAGCAACGTTGAGAGGTTAGCTCACCTCCCCCTCCCCCTCCCCCAACACTCGAACACCTAAATGTTTTCACAGAGCCAGAGTCATGCACTTGTCAAAATTGAAAGAATTCATTTAGTTTTTAAATGTCAGTTCCCTTTTCAAACGGCTCTTTCCATACATAGAAAACTAAAATACTTAAATAATATTTTTACACCGATTTTTGTCTTTTAACTCTGATTTCCAATCGTTACCATAGCAGCTATATAAAATAAAAAGGTTTCCTATTAACTCAATCTGTATATGGATAGGCCAAGTCTATTTGCCAAGTTTGGCGTCCCTAGCTGTTATGGTTCGAAATTGTTTAGAGTTCATACAGTCGAACAAACAGACTAGCTTTCGTCATTTCTCAAATCAAATTCTCTCATTACATTACCCACAAATGCCTATCATACATCATCAGGTTGAGGATATAAAAAATGAGACTGTAAGCGAATTCAATATCATCTGTAAATGTCGTATGTGTTCTCCTATATATGCAAACAAAAAGTCATATTCCATAACAAGATAATTGACTTCAGGAAACCTTAGAAATACAGTAAAATAAAAGTCGGCTCCGCTAGCTGTTATGGTTCGAAAGTTTTTAATGTTCATACTGTCGAACAAACAGACTAGCTTTCTTACGTCTCATCATATGCTTATCCTACTTCGTCAGGTAGAGGATCCACAAAAAAATGTTCCAAGAAAACAGACAGTGAGGTTAATATCATCTGTAAATGTCTTATTTGTTCTCATATTCCTATAAAAATCATATTCTATAACAAGAGAATAGATTGCTTTACTTCAGAAAACCTTAGAAATATAGTATGTACCTTTTAAATAAAAATGATTCGACAATGGCTCAAAGCAATTGAACCCCAGAATGCATTCCAAATATCTTTCTCTCTCTCTCTCTCTAACCTCAATATTGTTTTTTTGTAGTGTGCAGACAATTGAACACAGAGCGTTCGGCATTGCTTTAAAGCCCAAATGCCAGAAGCATCTTTAAGTTGGACGCATCATTAATTCGACAGAATGCTCCGCCACATTCGACTGACCATTTGGCTGACTGAGTGACTGAGGGACTGAGTGAATGACTGACTGACTGACTGACTGACTGACTGACTGGGCCATGGCTCGGTCCTCTCCGTGTTTTTGTTTGCTTTGTTTTGCAGCTTTACGCGTTACTTCAGCTGGAACAGCAGCTGCTCGGCACCAATAACAACAGCAGCAGCTTCAGATTCAGCTTCAAGAGCCTCAGATTCAGGTTCAGCTGCAACATGAGGTCGGTGCATCCATTAGCAGATATGAACGCAATGGCGGCAACCACAAACTAACCAACAACGGCGCACATTCTGAGTGACCAGCAGGACTCTTGACTGCGCGACACATCTCCCCCGGGTAGCTGCCCGGAAGAAAAACAGTCACAGCTCCCTCTCTCTGTCTCTGTCTATCTCCCTCTCCGCCAAAGTAAATGACCCAACACGGCAGGACTGTCGTGTCGCGTCCTTTCGATGCAGGCGACAAAACTGCCGCATTGTGGCAAGCCGCTGTGTGTGTGTGTGTGTTGGTTCTGAGAATGGCCCTCACGCTGGCAACGTCCTTGCTGCGCTCGGCCGCTCAACTGCTCGGATGTGTGATTGGCGACGGAAAGCGGCACAGGTACGTACGTGCGTTCTCAGGAAACGCACTAGTCCTGCCGTCCCGCCACTCCCCCAGACAGTGATGTCGCTCTTCATATCCAAAACAATAACCAGAATATCCAAATAGTAAGTACAACAGGTCTAGTTATTTATTTATTTATATTTTTTTTTTACTTTATTTACTAGTATCTGCTAAAAATAGG